ATAAAGTGTTACTGTTTCGTGTTATTCATGATTCAAGAAAAGATATTTGATTGTTGATCGGGAGTAAAAGGAAAGACCATTTCATTTTTCAAGAAAAGTGAAGTCAGAGTTTCAGGTATTGTGATGAATTAGTACATTATGTTGTGGCCTTTCCTCTTAAACCTTCTACAAATAAGACAATGAATATTTAAACTGTTTTAATTTTAGTCAAATATTAAATTTACTGTTCAAAAGGCTCATATTTCTTGGATATATTAAATGAAATATGTGACAATGACTCTTTAGAAACTAACATTCTTTATAAACCGACAGTTTCCACGTTTATATAGATTTTAGAAGCAACCATCCTAGACTCGTCGGTTAAAATATCCCATATATACAGATTGTAAGCAATAAAGAAAATAGAAATTTAGTTTATACTAGAACACCCGTGATCCGATGGGTCACCCACTATTCAGAGATTATGAAGAATTCAGGCTAATTTCAATATTGCACCTAAATGAAGGTTTATTTTGAGATAACTTGATTAAATATTTCAATCCATTCAAAATAAAATAATCATCAATATATCTGAGCCAATGCGACATCACACAAGAGTTAACATTTGATTTTATTTTTTGATCAATCATGGTATATATCTTTTCTTCTAAGAAATACCTTACTAAAATAACATATGTGAGTGTCGTTTTTATACCCATAGCGGTTCCTTTGACCTTATGGTAGAAATGATTATTATAGATAAAATAATTACTAGTTTTACAGCTTCAGTTGTAAAATTCTTTGTCATTCTGGAATCCAAAAGTTCTGGATAACGTTCATAAAAATAGTTTATAACTGTATACCAGATTCCTGTTCAATATTTGTAAATAAAGATACTATATCTAATGTATCATGACCGATTTCACCAATTTCTTAGTTTTAATAATAAACGATCATAAAAGTTCATCCAAAAAAATAACTGATACGTTGAGTAGAACATTACTGTTCTGCAACAGTTAGTCTCCTTGGCAACGAGAATGTCCAGTAAGCTGTGCATGATCATCAGATGAATTAAAACATGAGTCAATCACTTCTTAGTATTTATGTATTTTTCGTAAAACATTTAATATTTTATATTACATTTAATTGTTTCTTGTATTTTTGAGTAAACGATTTAATATTTTGTATTACATAATAAATGTTCTCAAGTTTCGTGCACATTTTACATTCTCTTAAATGTTCCTTAACCATTGTATCATCAAACTTCTTTGACTTTAAAGATATTGTGTTCCCTTCATCAGCTTTCTTTACAAATTATATATTTGGATCACAGATTACGTAAAGTTTTCCTCTCAGTATTATTACGATGTTTATATTGTGTTGAAATCAAAAGTACCCGATGACATAACGTATCCAGTTCAATATAGATAACTGCTGTTGGTGTAGAACTTGATTGATCTCTCAAAATGATATCATCCTGGTTATGAGTTTGATATTGTCA